TTTTCATCTAATACCCAAAATCGATACTACTAACGTCGAAGATGTCACATATCAATTTTGGTCCCGATTTGAGTAGGATAAGATGAAAAAAAAATTAATTTAAATTTGAGTCTCCATAGGGGAATCTGAACTTTGACCCCTGTGCAACACGCCTTAACCGACTCCAATCGGGACCAAAATGTATACGTGATATCTGCGCCTACAGTAGTATCGATTTTGGGTATTAGATGAAACAAAAATGTATTTAAATTTTTTGAGTCTCCATAGAGGAATCTGAACTTTGACCAATCGGGACTAAAATTTATATGTGATATCTTTGACCGTTGTATTAGCGACTGAGGGGGTGAGACTTAAAATTTAATTTTTAAAGGCCACCCTAATATACATACATATACTTTTATTATTTTTAGTCATAGCTTACTCAGGTTTGCTATGCTTATCTCTATATTCTCTTCACTTAATCACAATGACATGTTTGTGAACACTTAACACTAGACTTAACAGCATTTGTGTAAAATTCTAAAAAGGCACACGATCTATTCTTTATGAACTTAGCACCTAAAGCCGTCGTTGTTTAGATATCGTGGAAAGTTAATGCTTGGCAAAATAGTGAACAAAATTCTTTTTTATGGAAAATGTGACCGAAATGCTCATACATATACATATATTATAGTTTATGTGCTTCATTAGTACGCAATAAAGGTGCTAAATACTTTTTAACTGCTTGCTCAAACAATCAGTTAGAAAGAAAGAGTTATCTTTCAGGATTGATAACTAGTTTGTTAGCCTTAAGATGTATAGACCCAACTTCTTTTATGTAGTGAATCTCTTGGTTTCGTATTTTTTATTAGTTGGAACAAACAAAACGAATTTAAATAAAAACGGAAAACAGCATGAAAAGCGAAACTGAAGATAGAACAACCTATCCATCGCCAGATACTGAGTGTCGTAGTCTTCTAAATGCTGCAAACACGCAGACCAAGTGCTTGATGGTTTCTTTCTCTAGCCCGTTTTGTCTGCACTTATTCCTAATTTGACTCAATTTGTAGGCAACCGGTGTTTCCCATGTCTTATCCACGAACAATCAGAGCCAATCCTTTTCCAATGGTCTCTTCAATAAAAATTTTCATGTAAGTACTTACTTGCTTTCATTTATTTTCTTTGTGCAATCAATTAAAAATCAATGTGTATGTGTCTTTCATATTGTTTGAATACACTTCAGCTGAGGTCTACGACTTCCCAAGTACCGGCACACAGTGTGCTCTTTGAACACTCCATGCGAATTAATCGTAGCGCTTTCGACAGAAGCAATATTTTGATATGAAGCCAAATGATTTTGATAGCTAATGTTATTTCCTTTCACGGAGAAATACTGGCATTAACCCACAATTACTCCTTGACATACAAAAATTTTTCAAAAATAGTGCTCTTAAAAAAAACATGCAAAATCCACCGGTTCTGTTACAAAAAAAAATTTTCTTGTATGTTTTATTACACTAATATTATTGATTTTGAGACGAGAAATACGATTTCACTGCTTAAAAATCGAAAAAAAATTTTAACACCTCAATTTAAGAAATGCATTTTTGATTGTATTTTTTTTTTATTTGTATGCAGTTGTGCATCCTTCTCACAATTTTCTATCACTCGAATAACAAGTACGCTGTAGTGCTATTCAAGATCTTTAATTTGAGCAAAGGAAAAAGTCGCTAGGCTATTTGGGAGCCAAATTATAACGATTCTGAAGTTAAACTTCGAAATTTCATTCCACATTTTTGCATTTTTTTCTTCTAATTTCAGAGCAAAAACTTGTACATCAGATTCGAAGTTTAGTTCAATATTGTTATAACTTGGCTCTCAAAGGTCCTAAAGATCCACCAAAGCTCAAGTTAAAGTTCTTGAATAGCACTATAGCGTAATTATTATTCGAGTGATATAAAATTGTGACAAGGATGCACAGCTGCAAACAAAAAAAAAAAAAATCAATCGAAAATGCATTTCTTAAACTGAGGTGTTAAAATGTTTTTTCGATTTCTAAACAGTGGAATCGTGTTTCTCATCTCAAAATCTATAATATTAGTGAAATAAAACATAACAATTTTATTTCTTTTTGGAACAAATCCGGTGGATTTCGCATTTATTTATTTTTTTTGAAGAACACTATTTTTGACCAATTTTTTTAAGATCAAGGAGTAATTGTGGGTTACTGGCGGTATTTTTCCGTGAAAGGAAATAACATTAGGCTTCAAAACCATTTTGCTTCATATCAAAATATTGCTTCTGTCGAAAGCGCTACGATTAATTCGCATGGAGTGTTCAAAGAGCACACTGTGCGGCATGTATTGTTGATGCTATGAAAATCACCCGGCTTAAGCGCTGGTTATACTTACATACATTGCAGGTGCTGAGCATAGAGAATCAGTGGTGTAATTATTCTCCGCATAGAGCGCATAATCTCCCAGAATCAGCTATTCAGTGTAATCAGTTAGTTTGTTCGATTTACTTAGGAAGACATAGCTGAGGAATGCGTATTCATAGCCTAAAGAAGTCGACACTGAAATTAGTTGCTGCTTTTTGTCACAATTTTTTCTATGAAATAGCGGCAATTAACTTTATAATTTTTTTCGACTATAAATATGCCCCAATGTATGCACAAGAACGATTTCTCAGTAATACCTGTAAATCTGATGGGTACTGGAACAGACTAATGAGAGCAATGAGAGTGGCATCTCTCTTTGAAAATGTCCCATAACGAAAAATCAAAATTCTCCAGACTTCGCTGTCATGCCCTGTCATGCGCTGCGTCGGATAATCGCTTCCCCAAAAAAAACACGAGTACCACAGAAAGGAAAGTGGAAACGAGCTAGGCGATGGGAATAGCTTACCCTTTCGTTTCAAGAAGGCATTATTTTAACATGGGCATGTCATTGGCCGTAAGCCCTTACCCGCAGCATTATCTTCGAACGAAGGGAGAACACATGGATAAACAGAATCCAGAGAAGCGAACAAAGAATGCCTTACAGAGAAACTAATGTAGAATGCCTAGATAAGTACATACTTATTTATGCTAAATTGAAATCAGAAAATGTCTTAAGATTAAAATTTTATAAATCAGTTTTTTTACATACATATGTATGTATTAAGGTATTTAGAATTTACTTAAAAATCGGTAGGTACGTACATGCATATTTAATTAAGCTTAAAATTGTACTTCCTCACTCTTGTACTTCACTTCGTTGACTGACTTCAACTTCGCTGCAAATTGAACAAAGCAAAACATAATTTTTATGCGAAACAAATTTCCACAGAAATAAAAGAAAAAAGAATTTTTGGATATTCATTCTATTTTTCAGCTGACTACGATGCAGCATTCTACTTTGCATTCCCCGAAATGAAGCAAAGAAGCGGAAAAAAAATATTGTAGGACATTCTACTTTGCATTCCCTGAAATGAAACAAAGAAGCGAAATAAATAAAATATTTTAGGACATTCTACTTTGCATTACCGGCAATGCCTAAATGAAGCGAAAAAATTCGAAGGCATTATAACGCTATACCTTCTAGAACACGTTACCACTAAAAGCGATTACCGATTTTTCGGTGGGTTGTATGCAGAACTCATTAAACAGATTCGATATGTGACAGTACTCATGTTATGCGCTGCGGTACAATGCAAGTATAACCAGCGCTTTAGACAAAGAATTAGTGCTTTCATACGTAAGAATTTTAAGATGAAATGGCAGGCATTTAATAACGCAGAAAAAATTTCCAAAAAATTATAAAATCATTGATATCTGCGCGCCATACGTACAACATATGTACATACATATATTTCACCCCCAAGCAGCTAATAAAATTTAAGTATTGTCTGTGACCTTCATTCAGGTTACGCAAGTATATACATACTTATTTACGTGTAGGCATGTATATGTATGTGGATACGTAGATTTGTTTGGACGCAGACATTACTCGTTTCCTTACAGACCATTTTCTTTTAAATTATTCAGCTTTTTTCTTAATAATGTTTACAAACTGACGCGTATTGGAGGCGTATCTTGGCTGAAATTCATAATAAAAAGCACGAAAGGTGAAATAAAACTATACTAAGCAAATGTGTGCTAGCGGTTTCTTTTTACGCCAAAATAGCCTATTTTTTATTGTGTGTTTAATTTGATATTTTTAGCTATTGTTTGTTTATACAAGTTTTGTGATTCAAAAATTAAAATATACATATGTATGTATATCTGTGGAGTTTTATTAAAACAACTTAAGTGACTAGGAGGTTCGAATTTGGATTAAAATGGAATAAGTTTGCCTCCAAAAATTTTAAATTTTTATGAAGTTTCTATTAAAAGGGCATCTTAAACTACACCTAATAATAATAATAGATTGGCGCTTACACATATGTTAGTGTTTGGTCACACAAAGCGGAGGGACCTACAGTTTTACGCCGACTCCGAACGGCGATTGTATTTTTATGAGAAGCTGTTTTTCATGGCAGAAATACACTCGGAAGTTTGCCATTGCCTGCCGAGGGACGACCGCTGTTAAGAAAAAACCTTTTTTCTATATTTTTTGCGACGTTGCTTTGACCAGGGTTTGAACCCAGGCGTTGCGGAGTGGAAGCGCGCACTGCTTACCACTACACCACTACACCTATGGCTAGCTAATTGTTAAAATATTGTTTGGGAACCCAATGAAATATTGATTTAAAGATAAAATGGCCTAACTCGATATAAGTTGTTTTACCAAAATGCTACAGATATATCTGCATATATCCCAATACATGTAGTTATTGTTTCAACACATACTTATTTTATTTTATATTTTTTTTTTAATTTCAGACTAATTAAAAACGAGACTGGTCGATCTATATTGCGCGTTATATCGGGGCCTAAAGCATTCAAAGTAGTGTTATTCACACGCTTAACGCCCATTCCATTTGGCTTGCAAAACACAATATTTGCGGTAAGTTGTGAGTAAATATGTTTTTTTTTTATCCATTTAAAAGTGCATCCCCTTCATACATACAAACTCATTCATATTCATATTTATACATACTTTTATTTCCGTTTTTAACTCATCCCACCAACATTTATCGGCTCCTTGGTGGTTGGGAATCTATTCTGCTTATCCAACATCTGTAATGTTGTGCTGATATTTACATATCGATGATCCTCTGCAATAACGACACAATTCAAAATTCGAAAAATATAAACTATTACTACTGTTAAGTGGCTCTTGTATCTAATCCTTATCTACCCTTACTAAAGTCAGTAGTAAGAATTGATAAAGTAATTACTAACAATGGTTAGAGACATGAGCCACTTAACTGCTGTCCCTAAATTGGCGCTTCGAGCGCCAAACAGCTATCAAAAACCCTCATGCCCGTACAATTTGTATGGAGCGTCCCACAATAACGCGGAGCTAACGCCGAGTAAATGGAATTTTAATTTTTTACAGGGCGTTACGTGTTGAAATTGGATGCAGAAGGCGGAAAGAAAGAGAAAGGACAAAAATGTGAAAGAGGAAAAGAGAATAAAAACGAGAGGAAATGAGAAAATGTCAAAAAATTACGCCGCGTTGATTTGTGGATAGCGCGCGCCGACACTCGTAGACAATGGAAAACGCCACGCTTATTGGCGTCCCTAAATTGGAGCGCTAAGCGTGCGTATGAAGCTAACCAAGGCGTATTCAATAAGGTGGTATCGGTACGCCAACAACAAAATGTACATGTATTTTGTTTTTGCTTTTGCGGCGAGGACTGTCAAAAATTTCATAGGAGTGATGTGAAAGAGAACAAAAAACAATCAACTGCTCCAACCAATCAACAGCAGCCATTTGACATATGAAGCCGTGAGGCGAAGAAAAATAAAAGGGTGCTGCTATCACCTGTTAAATACGCCTTGAAGCTAACTCAATTTCAAACTTTGTTCTGCGTGACATTTTGATTTGACATTTCGCTCAATGAAATCAAATGCAAACGCACGCAAGCCAATTTCGGATGACGCAAGAAAAAATTCTACGGCGTGCATACCAAAACGCAAGCCGCGAATATTAGGTTAGCCTGTAACGCCCTGTCAAATATGAAAATTCCATTTGCTCGGCGCTAGCGCTGCGTTATTGTGGATGCTCCATAAAAATGGCACGGGCATGAGGATTTTTAACAGTTGTTTGTAGGGATGGGTAAATTCGAAGCTTCGATATTCGTATTTTAATCGAATTTTAGCTCCGAATTGGCGAATTTTTGAAATCGAACTTTGTGTTGCTAAAATTCGGATGAAATCGAATTTTTCTAGAAAAAATCGAATTTCATCTTTATTTCCAAAAAAATCAACTCTTCAACTTTCTTCTTTCTGACTAAATTTGCCATCACTGTGTGTGCCACTCCATTTGTCTTAGGGATGCAAGTAAAAAAATACATGTTTTTCGAACTGATGCATCGGGACAAAAAATCTGTGCCTAGAAAGAAACTCAAATTTAAAAATTTTTTTGTAAAAAACTAGTTTTTTTGTTGATTTTTTATTTTAAATGTTTAGAGGCTTTGACTTTGGTGGCATGAAGGTTTTGCCTGAGAAGACCCCTAGTAAAATTTTCCGGAGAATAATTTTCTAGAATATATCGTCACTAGACGCGAATAAAGGCGCGATCTCAAAAGTTGACGGCGAAAAAAGACGCATAAAAAAACCTCAGCGTCAAAGACTCTTAACATACTTCGCCGAAATTTTTCATAAGCATCTTTTTTAGCAAAATTTTTTTACACGCCTTTTTCGCCGTCAAAACACTAGCGCGCCTTTATTCGTGTGTAGTGACGATATCAATCCTCTAACGACCTTCCAAATTTGCTTTTTGCTGGATTTCTTGAAGTAAGGATCAAAATGACCCTTTCAGGCGCGAGCTAATGGGTTAAAATGTTCTGCGAAAATATTTCCCATGAAATTTTATTATATATATCTTAACCTTTGATTTCGCTCAGACATTTTTTTAACCATGAAATAAAAATACGAGCTAACTTTTGCAAATCCATCGAGTGTTTTATTTTATTACTGGATGGGTATACTTTCAGAAAATGTTAATAAAGTCGGGCTGGTTTCAGGCTCTCCCACAGTGTAATTTGAGTTTAACTTTTTAGACAGGTGGCCACTCTCTTCAAGCACCTCTAAAATATTTTAATTGTTGCATAGTATTTTAAGCACAACACTTTTTTAACTATATTAGACTTTTCAAATAGGTGGCACCCCTCCTAAATGTAATTAAAAAATAAAGTTTATTCAAAACCATTTCGATTGATACCCAAATTGGGGTAATTTATTTAACTTATTAAATAATTTGATTTTGATTTTGATTTTCTTACATATGGCACAAATTTAAAACTATATTACCATATACCATATTTTTCAGCTGCGTTATTGCTATACGTACCTCGTCATAGTCAGGCGGTGGAACGTCGACTCCGTCATCATCGACTGCGGGCTCGGGTTCTTCTTCTCCACAACTTTCCGCGCTGCTACCATTTAGTAGGGCGGAAAAGTGTTCCCTCCATAATTTAAGTTCATTATTGTTCTTACAGGAGTACGCCCCGGTCTTGAAACCTTCCGTAAGTCGCCTAACTCTCTGGTAAAATTTTCGGGCATTCCTCCTGTCGGCCAGCATTTCAAGCTCTTCGCACTCACGTATTTCACGTCTCGCTTCCCTCTTCAGATCCCCATAGCGGTCCCACATAGCGCGCGTTGCGCCCGATCGCAGCGTGGCCCTGAAGGCGGCATCTTTTTTCTCTGCAGCTTCCTGACACTCCTCATCGTACCAGTTGTTCGTTCGGGCTCGCTGAACTCCGACTACTTCTTCGGCGGCGGTACTTAATGAGCGGGAAATGTGGTTCCACTGCTCGCATATGTCGGTCTGAGAGCAGGTGTGAGAGTCGAGTAGCGAAAGCGCTGGCTGTCTGTTGTGATTGCAGCTTTTCGACGTTAAGCTTTCCTTGCATATTTGGGCGCACATTTTTTGCTGCAAATAGGCGGGTGCGTATCTTGTCTGCAACAAGATAGTGGTCCGAGTCGATGTTTGGGCCTCGGAGCGTGCGTACGTCTAAACACTGGAAGCGTGCCTTCCGTCTATCACAACATATCGATTTGGTTTCTCGTTTTTCGATCCGGAGGCAGCCACGTAGCTTGATGGATCTTTTTATGCTTGAACTTAGTACTGCATACTACCATGTTTCGGGCCCCGGCGAAGTCGATCAGCCTCAATCCGCTGTCGAACGTTTCGTCGTGGAGGCTGAATTTTCCGAGACTTTGCCTTGCTTCTTCACTGGAAGTGGTTTTTACGTGGCGGGTCCCAAACCCAGCGCACAACCCATTGCTGGGACGGGGGTGGTTTCGCAACCAAATACACGTTTATATAGCGAGCCGCTTGCTCCAAGCAGACACCCGCTTGCAGCCGCACCTACTGGTGAACAGACGCTGCAGACTTCAGTGAGCCCTTAAACCGAATGAGTCGGAGTGGCCCCACCGAAGCTCCCTCTCTTTCTGCCGTGACCCAAGGCTCCACTCGGATTGGTTACCGCATCTCGCACATGGATTGCTTACGTCGCCCAGAGTGCGCGAACGAGGACGCAAGAGTCGGGATTGAGTATAGTCATGCAACTGTAACTGCATACCCAGCGCAACGATTATACCCCATTGCACTCCATATGAGTTACCTGATATTGTAACATTGTAAAAGTAAAACACCATTTTGTGGATTATATGTATTTTTAATCTAAAAATAAGCTATTCAGCCCACTGTTTAACGACATTTCTTTTCTGATGTTAGACATTGTTACTAACTTATTTCACATTTAAAGCGCAGACTTAACGAAACATTTTGCAAGGAACCATTAGTTTACATACATACGTATGTATGTAGTTTTGGGTATGCATGTAAAGAAAAAATTTAAATTACTCGAATTAAAGCAGAACATGGATTTAGGTCCGCCCCAATATCCTTGCAGACGACAATTTAAAGCTGTTATTATGACATGTCTACCTTATTTACTCAAATACGTATTTAAATATTTACGAAATTTTTAAACGAAATCAATTACTACTTGCAGTACAATACAGACAATTTAGCTACACTTCATTCGCAATAGTCATCTGATTGTCGTACAAATACAATTAGTATGTACACATGTCATAAATTGTTACTGAACTAACGATTATTACATTAAATTACAAGTACAATATTTACTACAATTAAATTGCAGTTAGATACGCAAACCGTTAATAATCTAAAACGACTGCAATACGTACATATGTATGTATGTAGTACGAATATTTGATTTGAGTTGTTGAAACTCGTTTTGCCTATGTGAAACTTTGGATTGTTGCTATGCCTAAAATTGCTAAGAAAAAAATATAAAAAGTAATAGCTGCACAAACAATTAAAAAAATGAAGCTTGCCAATTCTGGTTCGTGTTTGCGTTGAGTGTTTATTACTTAACAAATTCTACTACACGACTAGTAAGCGTAACTACTTCATATTATAAAATTTATGTCTGCAATTTAACGTTCACATCCAATGTGGCAAGCGGTTACTTAATAAGCCGATAACAACTAAAAAAATCGATATATATTTTTAAGCAGGCGCAAGAGACCCGGACAACCTTTCTCGCACAAGTTGGGATTTTCTTGTTAAAATAAAAATTGTAAGCAAGCGTGTGCAATATGTACGTGATATATGTATGTCTGTACATTAGGGTACATCGCTAAAAAAAAAGAGTTGCTGTTTTCCACCGGAATTATACAATTTATTATATTTTAAGGCTTTCGCCCAAAATATTTCAGAAAAATATTAACATTACGTGAGCTAGACCGATTTGAAAATACCTCCAAAAATTTAATTACTTGCATTCCATTGAAGAATTTGTTAAACACTTTTATGCAGACCTTTTAAGCTTAAGCTCTTCTATCATCTGAGGTGTGTTTTTT